GCGGGATCTACCCCGGCACTAAGACATCAAAGTGCCCTGCAGACAGACCTCTGCATGCAGCCGCTCTCATCCAGAGGCTGAGCGTGGGTGTCCTTGAACCCCAGGCCTGACTCCCTGCACTCCAGAACTCTCCCCTACCGGCCCCCTCCCCCACCAGGGGAGCACCTGAGGAAGAAACTTTGGACATCGAGGGCACAGGTTCCAGAAAGAGGCCCGGCCCCAGGGTTGAAATCAAGCTGGGTTTCAGATGTTGGTCGGGCACGGGCGGGGGGAGCAAAGGGGTGCATCCACAAATGGGACTTTTCAAGCAACATCTCCGGACAAAGGCACAAAGGCCTCTTTTTGTATCCCCGGTACTTGGCACAGTGCCTGGCACACAGGAGACGCTTAATAAATGCTCATTGATTCTGGACCTAGAATGACTCCTTAACATGTCTGGTCCACAACGATTTCCACAAGGTCCACCTGGCTGGGGAACCGTCCTCCCCGGGCCCAAGTGAGGCCATAAAAATCCTAACTATGAGAAGATGAAATATCGTCCAGAACCACAAGGAATAAGACAACGTCTGGCTGGGAGGGGCCTCAGAGCCCACCGAGACGCCCTCTCACATGCCCAAAGCGTGCCCAGAAAGCGCTCATCCAGCCATTCACAGCTGTGGACATGCGGACAACAGCTGGGAAAAGGCCGGCCCCTCCTAGGGACCATCTGGCAGCCCTGGTGTGCTGGACCTGGAGTCACAAAGACTTGAGTTCAAATGCTGCCTCTGATACTTACTAGCTGTGGGACCCTGGGTGAGTCCCTTCATTTCTGTCTGTCTCAGTTTCCTCATCTACAAGATGAAGGGGGCAGATTTAACCCCTCAAAGGCTCCTTCTAGGTCAAAATCCATCATCGATATTCTCTTTAAAAAGAAAAAGTAGAACCTTTCAGCTAGTTCTTTGTTTTTAACTTTTAATCTCTGAACCGTCAGCCCTGGAGGTTAGAAGGCAACCTGGCCGAGCACTCCCTGCGGCCACCCAAGGCTGACCGGCAGGTGCTAGCGGGTCTGGAGAGGAAGGTGCCATTTGTCAGGCTATGGGACACGGGGAGGGGAAGGACAGCTAGGCGCACACAGGCACCCTGCAGGCAGCGTCTGTGGCACGTCTGAGGGAAGGGGCAGTGGGCAACATGTAGCGGGAGCTGAGGCGGGGGGGGTGCCCAGGACCTCCCCTCTCAGGGCCTTAGCAGGGAGGACCCAGTGAGCTCGGAGGACCCCCCTGCCTCTAAATCTGTGGTCCCATTCTCGCCCTCTCTCTGTCTGACCCTAATTCCAACTCTGTCTCTCCTCTTCCTCTCTCCAACCCTCAATCTTTCTCTTTCCCTCTTTCTCTCCCTCCCTCCCTCTCTTTCCCTCCCTGTCCCTGTCTCTCCTCTTTCTCTTTCTCTCTACTTCCTCCTCTCTCTCTCTCCCCTTCCTTCTCTCTCTCTCCCCCCCCCCCCCCCATTCCCAAAGAAACAGGTTCCATAGTCTACACGTTACTGAGGCCCAGGAGTTGGGTAGGGCCCAGAACAGACAAAGAGCTTCACCCTGGGCCTTTCCTTAAAAGATCAGTGACAATTTTTCCTCTGAAGTGACAAGGAGGGCAAAGGCCGCTTTCCCAAAGTACCAAAGACCTCATCTCTGGAGGTCTCCTTCACACTCCATCATCCCGCCCAAGGTTGCTGTCTACACCTCCAATCGGTTGGGCCAACAAGCTCTAATGAAGTGCCTACTATGCGCTGGCCAGCCACTGTGCTTAGCCCTGGGGCTTACAGTCGGCCAGGGGTATAGAGCATGCAAGCACTCAGACAGAGAGAGGGAGAATAATGGAACTCTTTGGTAGCCCCCAAATAATATGTTTATAAGGGAATACCAAAAAAAAAAAAATACAAGATCATTTTAGGGGTGGGGGGAGATCAGGAACAAAACCTTCACCCAGAAGTATCAGGAGCTGAACGTTAAACACAGTAACAAGGAGGGATCTGGGAGGAGGCGGGCAGGTAGGAGAGCCTCCGCCCTCCGCCTGACCTCTCACCTGTGCTACGGCACAGATCTGCGCCCTATGAGACCAGCCTGACGCAGTTGGGGCCCTCAGCGAGGGCCTGGGAGCCTCCCAGAGGTGACAGGCAGTCACTGGAGTTTGCTGAGCAGGGGAGTGACCGGACCGGGCACGATCACGCAAGGCCCTTGGGCAGCTGGAAGAAGGAAGGCCGATGGTGCAGGTGAGAAGTGACCAAGGTCTGAACTGAGATCGTCTTGTGGGTAGAGAAAAAGGACCGGATGCAAGAATGTGAATCAAAAAGTACTTGTGGGGGGCAGCTAGGTGGCGCAGTGGATAGAGCACTGGCCCTGGATTCAGGAGGACCTGAGTTCAAATCCGGCCTCAGACACATAGCACTTACTAGCTGTGTGACCCTGGGCAAGTCATTTAACCCCACTGCCTAGCTCCCCCCCCCAAAAAAAGTACTTTGGGCAGAGGAGGCTGGAAGCCAGTTTAGTGAAAAGGACCCTGGGTTAAGATCCAGAGGCCTCAGTTTCCTCATCTGTAAAATGGGGAAGATAATATCATCTAGATCTCCAGGCTCATGCTGGCTGGAAGACCAGGGTTTCCAGGAGGGAGGGAGAGAATGAAGACAAGAAAAAGAAAGGAGGACATCAAGCATGGACTTGGAGGAGAGGGCCTTGGCAAGGAGGAACAGAGAGGAGAAGATGTGAAGAACTACAATGACTGGATAAGAGGACACCAGCCTAGTCAAAGTGGGGCTCAACTAGATGGCGTGAGAGCCGAGTTCAAGTTCTGACCCGGCCACTGATTAGGCATCCAACCCTAGGCAAGTGGCCTCCCCTCCTTGAGCTTTGGTTTCCTCATCTGTGAAATGGGGGCAAGAATACTGCTTACTTCACAAAGCTGCCGTGGGGAGGAAAGCACTAGAAATGCGAGGGTTTCACGTTTGGGATAAGCCAGTGCTCCCACTTGTCTCTCTCCTGTCTCCCAGCCCCTCCCCTACTTAGAGACAAAAATTCATCTGTGATGGAGTGTAAGCTCCTCCAGGGCAGGGTCTGCGCAGCTCCCCCACTGTGCCCTGGAGATCTGCATCAGACCTAGGATTTAAGCTGCGTGGGGACCTTCTGGGGTGGAAACTCCCTCCAGCCCTCCGTAACTGGCACCTCTTCCGCTTGCTACCAGGGGCGCGTCACAGACGGAACTTGAAGCCAGGTATTCCTGATTCCAAAGCTGGCCCTCTGTCCACTACTCCATGCTGCCTCTCGGCTCGTAAACAAAAGGGGCATAATAAGTGTCTGTTGGTATTTGGGGAAACCTAGGGGGAGGGAAGTCGGCTTGTAGTTTCCAATCACAGCCTTACCACATTGTGGAACGTGGAAAGCCAAAGCCAACAGATTTCTGGGACCTGATTCAGCTCATGTTCCACACCTACAGGAAGTCTAACTGATTACAGTGAATTGGACTTGGAGTCGGGAAGACCCAAGTTCAAATCCTGTCTCAAGCGCTAACTGGTTGTGTAACCCGGGCAAAGCGCCTCAACCTCTCCCCGCCTCAGTTTCCCTCATCTTTAAAAGAGGGATAACAGCACCACCCACATCACAGGATAGTTGGGAGCATTAAATGAGACAGCACGCCAGCTATCCCCGCAGACTCGATCTGGATGGGCCCATGGGGTTCCCTCAAACCAAAGCCACTGGACAAATGAAAACGAAGACCTGTGGGCTAAAGGGACTTGTCCGGGATCACCCGAGGCACAGTCTGGGGACGGGGCCTGACCCAGACCAAAATGGAACTGGAAACGTTTAAGAAAACAAATTAAAATGTGATCGAACATAGATCATATCACAATGCGGTCGACAGGCCGCCGCAGGAATGCCGATGCAGGCTGGGTGACCCATTCCTATCTGATTTTGACACCACCGGGTTAGGGGGTAAAGTGCTGAACTTGGAATCAGGAAGACCTGGGTTCAAATCCTGCCTCTGACACTCACGACCTGTGTGACCTTGGGAAAGCGCTTCCTGTCCTTGGGCCTCAGTCTCCTCATCTGTCAAATGGGAGGGGGGCCTCCTCCAGGGCCCCAAGACCCCTCCCACTCTACATCTCGGATCCCATGACCCCAAGGAATCCCCAGTCAGGACCTGGGGTCAACTGTCATTCATGAGAGGAAATCAATACAAGAAGCGACTGGCACAGGATTGGGGGGAAGGCTCAGAGAGGGCAGCACCTGTCTTGAAACACACAACTGGTGCTGAGCTCGGTGGTTTCTAAGATGAGGAAGGGAAGCAGGAGTCCAGTTTGGGCACCCTCTAAATTCTGCTGCCCTGGGCCAAAGCACCACCTGCCCCCTTCTAGGGAGGTCTCCAAAGCTCCAGATCCCCTGAGGAGCACAGGGGCCTTTGATTCAGAGGAAGGGTGCCCAAGGAATCTGAAAGGTGATCCAGTTAGACCTGACTCCTTTTCTTCCTTTCTTTCTTTCTTTCTCTCTCTCTCTCTCTCCCCTTCCTCTCTTTCTCTCCCTTCCATTCTCTCTCTCTCTC